AATTATAAAGCGGGTGCCCCAATTTATTACAATAAAGACAAATTTTAGTTGGGTTACCCTTTGCTACAACATTTGCTACCTTATTATAAGATTTTTTAGACATATTGTCATGAGTGGACTTGTCACCACTTTCTTCGAGCGCTATAGCTCGCTTTTCAAGAAAATTTATAAACTCAACCATCGTTGGCAAGTTTTCAAGGTTTCTATCAAGTTGAAATGCTCTATTAGTATACTGATCTAACTTTTTACTCAAGATTGAAATCATTAACATATCCCATTTTTCTATGGGCTGTTGTAAGTTTTTAAGAGCATAAATTTGTTGTTGTACTTCTGAAATGAATGCCCTAATAGAGACAGAAGTACCTTTCTGCATTGCTGGCAACTCTAAAATTATATTAATATGATTGCTAATTAGCCGAGCTTTATTATCGTATCTCCTCTTTAATAAATTTAAAGCTTCTTTATAAGAATCATTTACTAGAGGTAGGTTGATGATCACAGCTAATGCATCGTCACACAGATATTTTCTTAAATAGAACAGCTTTTGAACATCAGATAATGTACTGTTATTATGAAATACAGCAGTAAACAAATCGATAAAGGGAACATATTTTGTGTAGTCTTTGCCAGAGAAAACTGGTATATCAATATTAGGTAACTTTGAAGTAGCAACATTTGGACATTTTGAAAATTGACTATCAGTTAAATTCTTAATACTTGAGTCTAGTGCTGCTACTATGGAATAATATTTTTCCTCTAATATTTCAACATTTTCAGTATTAGTAGGATCAATGGTTAGAATGTCTAATTGTAGCTTTTCATATTCCCTCATAGTACTAATTAATTTATCTTTTCGCGCTTCTAACATTTCGAGAGAGGAAGAAGTTAAATTTATGGGATCTTTGACAAAATTTTGAATTCTAGTTACTGTTCCTTTGAGGAGTCCTCTATGCAACTTGAACTTTTTAAGTTCTTCCGCCATGGTATACGCACGCACTTTTTATTTAAATAAACATCCACTAATTCCGTAGTAACAAACACACTATTGCACAGTCTTCTTTTCTTGATTTTGATTTCTGCGCGTTTTTCCACAATTTACAATCTTTGTTTATATCAGGTCAAAGGCTCAAGAAATTAGCTGATTTTTTTTTTGATAAAAGTTTTATAGTGATAATAGACTTCATTTTGACGTGTTTTGATTCTGTTGGCAGCTGTCAGTTGTCAAATTTGACGTACCTCTACGATCTTTTTGGTTTTACACAAGAAGTTTTTGACGTAAGGTTGCACAAAAATGGCGGCTTCCTGTACCGGCTTTCGGCTTTCGTCGAATTAAGAATGTAATTCTAAGGGTGGGAGGTCCGCTTCAAATTCTCTATTTGTTGAGGTCTTAAACCTGGTACTTTTAGGTCGAAACTTTCAAGTGAGGTATAGATCTTCACCCTACTAGATATAGACTCTAAATCTTGTTGAGTACCGAGTTCTCTAGGTGGTGTTGAAGTAGTGGGGTTTGCATCACCTCCACATAATATATGACTATCTGTATTAGCTATAGACAGCTCTAACTCTACATTTGAGACGTCCAAGATCTTATGGTTTACTAACTCGAAGTTATAATTACCTTCGCCGTCTCTGTTCACTTTAACTGACTCAGTAACGAAAGCCGTAAAATCCTCATCTGAAAATGGGTCTACGTTGCTCTCATGTTGGTCTTCTGATTGAGGACTAATCTGAATCTCAGTTGCCTCATCCTTTTGTGAACTGTAGAAGCAGTCTACACACCACATTATTGGTGCTAAATAACATATGAGTTAAATAGACTAATAGTCGAATTCGTATGCAACTTTATCAAAACAATATTTCTTCACAATCCGTGTATTTATTACCTTTGTGCGATGAATATGCATTCAATAGCTCTCAGCCTCGGATATTTGAGCTTCTTTCCTTTGGACGCTCAGCTCGCCGGCACGCGACCACGCGGCCACGCGGCGTGTTGAATATCAATTTCGAGGAATAAAACGGTAGAACACTGATTCTAACACTACAATACTTTGAAGGACCACTTGCCCACATGTATAAATGAAAAACGGGCAATTTTATTGAATTAACAATTTAATTTTAATTTTTAGTTACACAGCAATGCTTATCGTTAGTAGCAGTATAATGGAAGGGGCGAGTGACAAAAAAAAAATATAAAGTTAAATCGGTGGGGCCAGTATATTCTATAATTAATCATTACTGATGCGAGAAATAATCGAACAATATCTCAACACTTATCTAGTGCCCTACGTATTTATGTCTAATATATAATTTGATTGAAATTTTGAATTTAAATGATCAATGATTGGCCTTAAAAGATATAGTCTGTTCAAGTTCCTGACAGCGATATTGATAGTGGGATTTAAATCATTATCTGCGGGGTCTGACTACAAAATGTAAGGCTCTATTGAGTATTTCGTATCTCCTTCGCGTGAAAATGCGTTTAAAAACACTTATTTAAGTGAGGATCGCGGGAAAAACAGCTAACAAGTGTTGGCATTTTGATGATGGCTAGCATCATCCAAAACGCGAAGAGACACAAAATCTCGTGACTATTTGTGGGGAACCATTCAGCCTGAAAGGATCGAGAGACAATCTTGGTGGCGTACGAGTTCGTCTCGGTCACAATAAGGCTTATGATATCATCGTCCCAATAAGAACGAAAAGCGTCATAGGCCGAATTGAAATCGAAAACCGAACCTGTTCGCTCTGGTCTAAACTGTTCATCTACCCCCTTGAAAAGACCCCATAAGAGACCATTCAAACTGGAGGTCCTGACCTTCCAGGCTTGGGAGACTATCCTCAGCGTCTTCCCTGTCTTCTGTCGTCTCCTAACCACATCCCTCGCCAAACTTACTAATTCAGGGGGCAAGTCCTCATCGCTCGTACAAATTTCATTCAGTGGGTGACCCACCTCCCATTGATGTCCCCCCCCCCTGCGTCCTCGGCGCGAATATCCACGCTCGCTTGCACTCCGTCCTCGCACGCTCCGACCACCCCTTCGACCACACCCTGGGACCACTTCTTCTTGTTGTCGCATATTCAGAGGGCACGTACAACTCGTGGGAATCGGGGGTTAGAAATACGGCATTAGCCGAATCACCGACTACTTCATTGAGGTCCTCGTCATATAAACGAATTTGGACGACACCTTCCGTTCTGTAAGAAAAAATTCTATTGTACTATATCAATGATTTCAATATGACTTATATGATGTTTTTACGTGTTAAAAAATTCAAACAAATTGCAACAAAAGAAACTCCGAATATACAAGGTGTAGCAAAATAATAATAAATAAAATAATACGCAAGTATAAAAAACACACGAGAAATAATGGGTATTTCTTGAGTTTATTCTGTTACATCTTGTATATTTTGCAGGTAAAATAATAATGAAGTGGGTGCGTGTTAATGTGATGTAAGAACACTACAAATAAAAAAAATACCCAAGACAGATCCCAGATCTAGCCAGATTTTAGATATAAAATGTTGAAGCATAAAGCATTTCTGCAAACACCGGCAGCATAAGAATATTTGCGTCATGATACATATAATAAGTACCTTTTTAAACCACGCATGTCATATCTTTGAATTGGAAATGAATTCTGTGGAAAATAAACACATTTCATTTAAATATCAAATTATACTGACTTGGCTGGCTAATGCGAATAACTCAAAGTGGATACCTCCTCATCCATGGACTCCTCCATCTCCTCCTCACCCATATCCTCCCCATACAAAAGACTAATAAAATTTTTGGGAGGTGCATCCTGCTGCGTCGGTCTCCACATTATATGCAGTAATCACCTACACAAAACACCTGTTTAAATTAATCACCCAATTTCTATTTAATGGCCATTTTTTTTTTAAATAAATTTTGAAAACTCATTCAAATTAATTGAGTGGTTGTACAGCAAAATTTACACGGTTTCAATTTCAATTTCTAAAAGTAAAGTAATTCATTACAAGATTACAACTATGATATCAGCAATATCAATGGTTATCGATAAATTATCGACACGAACTTTACCCTATTTAATAAATCAACAATAAATCAAAAAGTTGCATAAAGATAAAAATGGCTCGCCGGATATTGACAGGGTCCTCGGCCATTTTAAATTTTTGAGCACCGAAGTTTAGTGACTTTGTTTCCGCAAAAAATAACTAAATATCATGTTCTGTACTTGTGGAAATTAGTTGTGATTACTTATTATGAACTTTTTATTGTATTTACCAACTTTTCCGGTTGATGATTTTATTATTATGGTATATTTCTTGCAACCAATAATTGTAAATCACTCTTTGTACACAAAACTTACGTGCGATATTACAGCAATACATCACTTCACAATACACTAATGGCAGAGATACATTAACGTGGCGTGGCGCTAACTGTCGTGGCGCGCCATGGCGGTGGGTGTGCACACTAGCGTGTCGTGTCGTGGCGGTCTCTGGCGATTATTCCTGAACAGTACTTAACAGACCTTGGCAGCGTGCGTACAAGCATACAAAATGTATTCCTCTGATTCAGACAGTGATTTTGACGAAGACCTTCAATTTCTCATAGCACTGAAACTTCTTGAGGGCAAAAAAAAGATGAGAAGGTGGTGGGTTCACCCTATAAACAGAGGGAGACAAGCTGCAGGAGAATTTCATCGTCTTGTTAAAGAATTAGAGAGTGACGAAGAGAAATTTTATCAGTACTTTAGAATGAACAAAGCACAGTATGAGGAAGTCCATTCGCTGATTGAAGGAGACATAAAAAAAGTACATACTAGATTTCGCGAACCCATAGGTATTAAAGAAAGACTTGCGTTATGTTTAAGGTAAGTTTTATTTCTTTAATTAAAAATATATAATTGACCAATGCTGTTACAATCATTTATCATAAAACTGTTAAGTAATCGCACTCCGCTGTCTTATTTTTAAATTTAACAATCGTTTTTTTTTTATTAAAATATTAGTTTAATCATCATTTTCATAATCATCAAAATTATCATAGTATGCCTTCAAGTCATCTGAAACAACAGGTTGTGTGTTTAATCTGGATGGAAATGATGATGACTGGAGATATTTTGGTGAGTGAGTGTGCATAGGTGACTGGATGTATGTTGGTGCTTGATCGTCTGTAGGAGTTTGGATGTATGATGACAACTGACGCTGTGGAGTTGACTGGATGAATCGTTGAGAGTCTTCAGAATTTGAAACAGCATGGTTTTGTGGTGGAGATTTTGTTAAAAGTGATGATGACTGGATATATGTGGGTGAATTAGCTTGTGTTGTTGACTGATTGTATGTTGGTGATTGAACGTCTGCAGTAGTTAAGATGTATGTTGACGACTGATGTTGTGGATTTGATTGAATGAATCTTGGAGTGTTAATTGTTATGGGCGTTTTTAAAATCTTGTCTCTGTGTTCCAATTGCCGTATTACTGCTTGGGAAATAGCGGTGTGCAAGTCTAACTTTATTTTTGTCTGTTCTAGTTTTGACAACGTTTTAACTTCTTTGCTCATACTAAGGAAAAATAAATCAGTTTCGTCCATGTCTTGTTTGAAATTATGTTTCTGGCGTCTTAAATCTTGCGAAGATTTCATTAAATCGTACAACTGTTGTAGTTTGGGTTCGGAATTAGTTTTTTCACGCGTTGAACTGGATTGAGATTGACTTCGAGAAGTACTTGGACTTGCTGGAACACTATCGTCGATAGAGTCCTCTGAAGGTGGTGATTCCAGTGAAGGCATCACATTTGTTTTTGTGTTCCTACATTCGATGTAAGGAAGAAGAAAGCCCATGCTCTCTTCATATTTCCAGGGCACAAACGTTTCCGCAGCCTGTCCACTTTTCTTGTTCCTTCGTCTCTTCAAAGCACTGGCGAAAGCATTTCTTAATTTTGCCCAGTCATCCTTGCATTTGTTTACTGTAACAAGTAATAGTAATTGTTTATTTATTTTCAGATTTTTAGCTACTGGCAACACTTTTCGATCATTGGCGTTCAACTATCGCATGGGATTCGCAACTGTAAGAGTTATAGTACAAGAAGTGTGTGAAGCCATTTGGAAAAATATGGCACCTATTGTAATGCCTACACCTTCAGAACAAATGTGGAAAGATATTGCAAATAACTTCAAACAATTGTGGCATTTTCCGAATTGTATTGGAGCATTAGATGGCAAACACGTTAACATAATTTGTCCAATAAACGCAGGTTCTACTTTCTATAATTATAAACAAGTACATTCCATAGTTTTACTTGCACTAGTGGACGCTCAATACAAATTTATCATGATTGACGTAGGCGCGTATGGTCGAAACAGTGACGGTGGCATTTACGACAAATCATGGATGGGAAGATTATTCGAGCAAAAAGCATTCAATGTACCACAGGATGAACCACTGAGTCAAAGCTCTCAACCTATGCCATACACAATTATTGCTGATGCAGCGTTCCCGTTGAAAACGTATTTATTAAAACCTTATCCCAAAGACAAGCTAGTTAACAATGATGCAAATAAAATATTTAATTATCGCTTATCACGTGCACGCCGGTGTGTAGAAAATGCGTTTGGTATTGTACGGGCTCGGTTTCGAGTATTTCATGGACCTATGCAAGTCCAGCCTGACATGGTAGACAAGATTGTGCTAGCATCTTGTTGCCTTCATAATTTTTTAAGAACACATACATCACAAACCATGGATGATCCTAAAGAAAATGTGATGGATTCTACTGACCATAGCAGCAACAGCGATTGTCTTCTTAATATTGAAGGTTTGCCGAGAAACCCATCAAAAAACGCTGTTTATGTAAGAGAAAAATATAAAGAGTATTTTATTAGTCAAGAAGGGAGCGTACCATGGCAAATGGAAATGATTCGCCGGGGTAGACTTAATAACTCAGCTTAATAATTAAACTTTTGTAAAAACTTTGTATAATGTATCATATTCATGTATCCTTTTAAAATAAAAACCTATTTAAGTAAAATATAATTTTATTTCTTTACCTGGTTCTTTCAAAATTTCACCAATTTCTTCCCAAGCAGCATTTCTTATTGAATGATCCTTGTAATATTTACACTTTGAGTCGTAAATCACTTTCCGTTGACGAACAAGTTCGATTAGATCGTCAGCCATTTTACTTCAAATTTTTTCAAATTAATTTTAAAACGTTTACTGGATGTGCGCGCCACGAGCTACGCGCCACGGCCACGCGCCAGTATAGAAACACATTGGTCATGTCGTGTCGTGTCGCGCCATCACCCCCACCACCGCCGTGGCGCAATCGGTAGCAAGCAGTCGGCGCCACGCCAGAGCGCGTTGCGCCACGACACGACATGCAAATTTGTTTCTGCCCATACTAAATGTATGAATCCGATAAGCTTCTGGCGCGTTGCGCCACGCCACGCCACGCTAATGTATCTCTGCCATAAACCACTCCGTGCGCGTCCCGAGATTTGACAGGTCAAAAAAAAAGAAATGGGCATAGATAGTAAATTTTTTTCCGGCTTTAGACCACAGAATATATTTCAAAGAATTTTTATAACCAAATTTCTCCATACTAAAGTAGACTATAACAGCCTGAAAATAAGGCGTAAAGTCGTCGGCCGGATTCGGCCGAGCGGGGTTTCACAGAATGGTGCAATAGTCACGTGACCGGCCGAATTCGGCTGATCGCGTGCTGAACAGTTAGAGCCGGGCCACACGCACCGCACTGGCGGCTTGGCTTGCGCAGTCAACGACAGTCTACAATTAACAATGGATCGAAAAAGACGTGTGTTGCTGCTATTATTACTACGCCACCGACGAAATCGACGTAGAAGCACACGAAGATACTGGATCAGCCCCTTTATTACCCAAAGAAATAACGACGGCCTTTTTTTTTTCTTAAAGAATATCAAGAGTTGCTCGTAGACGAAAAGAGGTTTTATATTTTTTTTTTCGAATGAGTGTACTCACTTTCAAAAGTTTATTAGAAACTTTAGAGCCACAAATACAGAAACAGTATACTAATATGAGGAATCCAGTGGAGCCAATAGATATGCTGGGAATCACTATCATGTAAGTAATAAAAAACCTTTATTATTTGCACTTCTTTATTATTAATTTTCAAATCAATGCCAGGGAAATATTACTTATAACATTGTAAAATCAAACTCCGTTTGATCGCTATTAAGCCCCTACAATACATTACGTTTAAGATTATAGTATTATCAGACTCGATTGTGCTAAACTTATTCATAGTACCTTAAAGTTTATTTAAAAACATATCTTCTTATTATGATAACTCACTTCAAAATCTTGTTATAGTCTTCAGTATGCAATCGATAAAGAAATTACTATTGTTATTTTTATAGTCCTCTTAATAGTAACCCTCCATTAACAAAAAAATAATTAGAAAATTTGTTCAAATCACTTCCACATTCTGCTTTCATTGCAGGCGATTTCAATGCACTACACACAGCTTGAGGTAGTGATCAGTGTAATTCTTGTGGCAATGATTTAATTAACTGTATCCAGGATAATAATTAAGTTTTATTGAACGATGGTCAGCACACTTCAGTTGGCTCGCATGTTTGGCGTCGCCATGCTCGAGATTTATTTCCAAGTTTGGCTTTACAGTGTGAACGGAGTGTTCATGATGACCCTTATGACCCTTTGGGTAGTTTTCGTTACCTATAAGTCTATCTAATACACCTTATCAGCACAACTATCGCAATAGAAACTGAGAAAAGTGTACTAGCAATATGGAGATGCTTTTAAATGATAATGATCCATTAGGAACATATACAAATCTTAGCCAACTGTTACTGTTAGCAAACGATCAATCCATGCCCATGAAAAATCCACTACATACATCATCTACGAATTCGCAAAAACCATGCAGGTAAGGATACCTCTCCCATGGCAGAATGATAACTACTTTTCTGCACTAGAAAATTCTAAAAAAGCTTACATTCAATTTAAAAATGATTCTTCAGAAATCAGTTACATAGAATTTAAGAAACAACAAGCTCTCAAAAAAATAATGATTAAACAAGAAAGACAATCCAGTTGGACTATGTGAAAGCTTTAATAGAACCACACCGCTTTTAAGAATATGGACTATTATGAAAAAGTTTAATAAGACCCCTATGTCACCCCCTGTTACAATTTAGACGACAGGAAGATTAAAAAACAATGTATTTATTAAATAAACCTAGCTACATCTTTCGAAGTTGGTGGTCGAGTAAGAACTGAACTTTTACAATCACTAGTTTCTTCGCCTTATGGCGGTTCGAGCTTGAGCCGTGGCTCTTTCCCGGGCATCTTCACCGGGGTTACGACCCCTCGGTGTAAGGTGTTGACCGTTGGTGCAGTTGGTGGAGGTTCTGCCCTCAGCGCGGTCAGCCCACCGGGTGAAACCCCGTTGGGGGAGGCCGGGCGAGCGCCTGCGAGCGGGCAGTGAAGGGTTGACAGGTGGGCGATCAGCCCTGTTAGGGCGTTGATGGTGGCTTGAATGGAGTCAGTTCCTGCTTCGAGCTCAACTATCACGGAGGATGGGAGCTTTTTAATGACGGAAACGTGATGTTGGATGGTGGATTCGCGTTGGATTTGGATGGGACCATAGGGACAGGGAACGAAAGGGACCGGGCGAAAAATTGGGTCAACCTTGTGTTGCCGTTGTCTGTGGTATTGGGTTCGTAATGTGGCTTTGTGATGTTGTGGAGGGGGTGGGGGCGGCATTTGAGGCCGTTCTCTACGGCCAAATTTGGTCTTTGGTAGTGGGGCGGGCGTCCGCGCAGTTACTGGGACTTCTTTGCAGTCGCGGAGCGTCTCCTTCTCCTGCCTCTTTTTCTTTTTTGGGAAATCGCATGTCCTCTTGTAGTAGGAGGGTTAGCCGGGGGAGCTAGGGTGGTGGGAAGAGGGGAGTCAGGGTTAACGGCTGGCGTAGTGGTAGGCCGACTCGTAATGTCTTGTTGGGGAGAGGGATGGTGGAGGAGGTTTTGTGGGTGGTATGGGTGGGGGGATTCGAATACCCAGGCGTCTGGCTTCCCTGAGGAAGACCTTGCATCTACGGCTGCTGGCAGGGTGATCCTTTCCGCGCACGTGGCCGGTTCGTTTCGGTCGCGAGGGCAAATAGAATGGAGGGTGCTCGCCGGCGCATCTGACGCATTTTTCAGGGCGGTGGCAGTTTACTGAACTGTGTCCGAAGGCCTGGCATCTGTGACATTGAGCTGGTCCCTTCCTGGGCTTCCACTCCTCAACGATGATGCCTGGCATATTCAACAGGGTGTCGATGTTGTAGAGTTCCTGAAGGGTTTTGCGATCCGTAGGCTTCAATTGTACATGGAACAGACAGCCGGGTCTGTTCCTTTTTGCTAGGACGGGTCTTACTACGGTCGGCGTGAATCCCATCTTTTGCAGGCTTCCCATTATGTCTTGGAGTGGGGTGTCGGCTGGTAGTCCTTTAAGTGCTACCTTTATTGGTAGCTCAGATGGCAGCGAGTAGGAGTACCAGGCTATGATGGATTCCCTCTCGGTCTTGTAGAGGTAGGCTTTAACCAGTTGACATTCCCTCTGGTATTTGGGGAAGAATCTTATTCCCTTGCCATGGGGCCTGGCATTCGGTGGGAAGCCAAGTTGGTTCTTCAATTGACGGAAGTGTTCAGTCCAATTGGGAAGGGACTCCGCGACTATTGGCGGGAATCTCTTGGCTTCTTGGGTTCTGGGCAAATCTGGCAGCGGCGGGGTGTACGACTTTGGTGAG